GGGGCACTGATCTAACGCCATTCCCCGGACTGGTTGTTGCCTTCATTATATTGTTTTTTTCCCCATGAGTACCCGGATGATACGCAACGCAACTGAGCGTGACCAGAGACTGGGCTACCGTCTGCAAGGACAGTTAAATAAACTTGGAGGCTGGAGGCAATATTTGTTTTACGCATTTTTGAACACTGATTGGTTAACTGTGATCTATAAAGATTTCGACAAAGGGCGCATATTAATTAATTACTTCAGCCTAAACAAACAGACAAATAGAACGGCGGAGCTCATCGGATGTCGTCATTTGGAAATACCCCAGATAGTTATAGTTTAATAATTAAAAAGTATCCATGCAGTGAAAGCATTTTCGGATTTCGGATTGCGTCGATAATACGATTACTACTCCCTTGTTGTCATCCACGTTTTTTGGTATAACCCTTCACTTGTGTATTTGTCGTCATTCACTTGATGCTCAGTTAATGAATTTATTACAGGTACAGTTAGTGGTAGCACCACTTAGATTACCTGACAGAGGTTCCCATTTGGCATTTATTGTGTCTGGGGTAGTTATTCAATCTAAATGCAGGTTTGAAGTGAGGTGAAATGTGTGTTATGTAATATGCACGTGGCAGCCCAGCAAGAGGTAAATGATCAGTTGATTTACTTTTTTTTGTAAATCAACGGATCGTTCCTAGTCATCAAAGGATTAACAGAAAATACGTTGATTGAGTAATCACTGTTATCTTGCACAGTGGATATGTCAAAAGTGAGTGTCAAGGTTTACTAAAACAAAGGGAATACACTCATATGGCGTGAAGTGCCGATGTAAAAACAACATACCTTGTTCAAAGGTTTAACTGATAATACGTTGATAGATTGCGCATTCTTATCTATCACTCAATGGATTTTTTAGGAACCGTGGACGTTATGAAAATAGTTGTCACGTGGGCTTTCTCAGCCGACTCTTGAGACTTGACACCTATGTGAAACACCTGAAAAATCTAAGTGATCAGTTGAGAAAGGAACACGGTTTATAATATCCTGAAACGATATATATCTTTTAAAATATTTGATTGTGAGACACGTGACATCGAATAAGTTTCTTTGTACAGCTGCAGACAAGTGGGATATTGTTCCTTTGTGTGGATATTCACGGATACATTCCTCGAACAAGGAAGCTGCCTAAAATTTATACACATAAATTTGGTAGGTTGTAATTATGGTATTTGCATTTTGTTTTCCTTCATTTGCTGTAGCATTGAACCGATTCGTTCTTGTTCCTCTACGTCTTGGTTGGGAAATTCTTCAATGCGCGATAGACGTTGTTTTCACAAGTCTTTTCCTTTGTAAGCGTGTATATATTACCGTCAATTTGTAAAATGTGATTCTCTCAGGCATTTGATAAAATGCGTAAATATTTCAGTAATTTTGACTGAAAAATCTGTCCAGATTGACTAAAATTGATTAAGACGACCAAAAGGGCCTCAAAACACCACAACAGATTATTACGTAGGATTAGAAGCCAAACAACAAAGAAATGTACTTTTCAACGTAACATTTTCAGTCTCTTGGTGATGACATTAAACATAAAAATGTTTGGAATTCGTTATCATAATAATACAGTAGGAAATGTTTTTCAGTCACTTTGTAAAATAACTATAAATATTGAGGCGTTTAATAAATTTTAAAATGTTACACATTTTGACTGTAAAAAAATATACACACTTTAAAAAAGCAATGCTCAGGTGAAATATTTACTTTTTGTTGCAGGTAAAAATAGTGTAAACGAAAATCGCAAAATTACCAAGCAAGTGACTTATCAAAACTTCGTCACCATTACCGATGCTACCCACAAATATACCTACATTTCCTTATTATCTCGAAAACTGTATTTCATTTTGTCGATCAATGTGACCATACGCCCTCATTACTACCCATAAAAGTGACTAATGCGCTTACGAATGGCGCAGCAGAGGTCGCGAACTAGTCTAGATTTCTGCTATACATCCGGGTACTCACTGGGAAAAAACAATAACAAAGGCATCAACCAGTCCCGGGGAATTGCTTTAGATCAGTGCCCCTTTAATAACGGTGAGTTGTGCGATCTTCCGATCGCTTCACACACGATTTCGCCGAAATTAACTAAAACAATATTAAAAGGAGTTTTGAATAAAACTAATGAAATAAGTTACAAACATAAGTCCAGATATACAAAGAACACTTTTTATAGCCAGACAGTGTAATTACATGAATAATTTGCGGACTTCAGTATGGATTTGTTGACATGGTATTTCCGGTGTTTCGTGCTCACAGTAATGTCTTTCCATGGGGGAATAAACATCAAAACTCATTCATTCGTGTATAATGCGCACCCCCTTCTACACAGCTGTGTTTTTTTGGGGAAAAAGTGCGCACTATTCTCAAGAAAATATGGTTGGGCTTACTGATGAATTTACGCCAATTTGACTCTGAATTGGTTCTTATAAGCGCCCACCCCTTCTGGGTTTTTTTAAGCGCCCTGGGCGCTTATTGGGTCGAATACGGTAAATAGATTTTGAGAAAAAAAAAATTTAAGATCCGGACGGACGGACGGAAGGAAGGAAGAACTCTGTGGCAGGGGATAATAACAGTGTGAATATAAAAAAATCTATCATGTACATTTTTCTCGACTATTGGCTCAGTGTACAAGTACGTCCACATGAGGGTACATCAAGGAATATTCTCCTCGTGCTAAGCATACAACTTATATGTCACATGATTGCATGTCGATTGCATGCTGTTTGGTAAAATATAAAGAACACAAAATAATGTTAACTACACATCCAAATATGTTCAACAATCAATCCTTATAAATATACTGCAAGGGAGCATCCGGCATGTTGAAAAGGAAAGGGTCTGCAACATACTTTAGTTTTCAAAAGGGGAGTGGGGCGGGGTGTGTGGGGGGTCCAGACCCCTCCTCTGGATCTCCCTATGTATTGAAAAACATTAGAATATTAACAAATGAGCGAAGTGAGTAAGTTGGGTTTTATGGTGCTTTTAACCGTACTCCAGTTATATCAAGACGTGTCAGCTTGATGTGGGAGGCAGACCTGAAGTGATGCAGGTATTAGGCATTTACCAGTTTAGTGAAACCCCTGAACAAGGGCTGACACACCTAGAAACATAATAGGGGCAGACCAAGGTTCGAACCCACGATGATAGATTTCTGGCATGCCAAAGAAAGTATCTCAGTGAGCTGACACTATAAAATCAGTATTAGTCTGGACTAGTACAAGCAGTCACACACACACACACACACACACACACACATTGCTATATAAGTGCAACAATCTTGAACACGATGTTAAACCCCATTACACCTCACAGCCTTTCTCCAGTGGTAGTGAGTTGCCTCCCCTTATTCTATTTCATACTCACATATTTCTCTGGTATGGCAATAGGTCAAAAGGAAAACAGACTCCTAAGTCAAAATAGATACACGAAAAAGTCAAATCTTACATTTGACTATCACCCTGTGGTACAGTTGTCTTTTAAAAAATACTGAGTGTGTTGATTAGCAAAGTCATAAATCATCCACAAGGAATCTAGGTATGTCCAAAGTATTGCTGGGTAGGTATTTTCCCACTACAACTTCAATTATTTTACACAAGGTCACAACAAAAACAAACATATGACATCAGCAGACATTCCCTTTGACCAGCAACAACATACTAGTATTCATAAGTCATTCAAGCCTCTTCTATAATATCAAAATGGCTGCTCTGATAAGTAATGATATTGATAAAAGCTGAAAAGAAAGTTAATTCAGTTTACAATGAATAGAAGGATAGTAAAAATAAAAGTTATAACATTTGTGGATATACACACACTCCGACAAAGGGATTGCGACACTGTTGCTTAATGGACGGGGATCTTTACAAAAGAATAAACACGTCATTGAAGAGGACTTTCGGTTTCAAGATGAAACCGAATTGACAATTCCTGTTTCAAACGTTTAAACTAAACGTGGTAGAATAACTTTAAGGGCTATATCTTAAAATGCACCCTTAAACTGTTTGACATTCTCGTTCTGGGCAGACTGCTCTCTGGGACGATTTGCCATTATTCATGTTAATGATCACCTGATGATCGAATACTTGCCAGTTAGCCCAGTAGAACAGTGACACAAAACAGCACTCGCATATGGCAAGCCGTTTTCACAGTTATTACTGAATTGCAGATATCTTCAATTGTTTTAAAGATATCAGTATTTTATTTAAAGATATCAATAATGTTTTTAAGATGTCAAAAAATAATTAAAGATATCTTAAATTCATTTCTGATATCCATAATACAATTACTGATATCTTAAAATGTTATGATAATATCGACAAATTAGTTTGTGATATCTCTAAACATATTTCAGATATCATTAAACAATTACCATCCTACAGTACAGAATATATTAGAAATAAATTCAAGATATATCCACAAATGCATTACAGATATCTTTAATTCAATTAGAGATTTTCCAAATCCAATTAAAGATATCACTAATCATTTTGATGATATCTTTATATCAATTATTGATATCAGATATCTAATTTAAGTATCATTATTAATGTAACATCTTTAATAATGGCAACAATTGAAGATATCAATATGAATTATTGATATCTGTATTCAGTTTCAAGATATCAGGAATTGAATTAATGACATCATAACAAAACATGACATCTTGATATCTTTAAATCATATGTTGATATCAATAATCGAATTTAAGATATCAGCAATTCTTTTCAAGATATCAGTAATACGCTTCACCATGTCCTTAATTCATTTCGTGATACCTTAAATTTTATTGCAGATATCTACAATTATCTGCATTTAAAATATCTTCAATTCCATTCAAGATATCTTCAATTCGATTCAAGATATCTTCAATTCAATTCAAGATATCAACGGCTTGTCATACTCGCAGCTGAGTGCAGAGAGTTGACTGCTGATATTATTATGTTACACACGCTATCGTCGAGTTCCTGTGAATATAACCTCCTTTCGGACAAGATTCGAACACTTAATTTCTTCCTGCTTCAAATTCCCTTTCACAGGAAGGTAGAGGTATTGTGTGACCAACTGTCCAATCGATTCGTTCCTGGAATTGATAAGGAAACAAAGATTCGCATATCGTACTTTCGTTTTGTAAGTCACGTGTCAAAACATTGTATTTTCCTTGCATCGACAAGGATCGCTAAGGCTCCTTTAATAATGGATTTACTCAGCCGTGTTAGGAGCTAGTGTGCGGCAAATGTTATCTCTCTTACACAATACTGCTTCCATAACCCAAACCTGCATGTCAATATTTTTACCTTTTTTTCGGCTGTGTAGCTGGTAACAGGTCATTTCTTATCCCTGCTGTTTCGCTACCTGTAGTTCGTTTCATATCTCTGCATTTTCGTACCCCCCTTGTCGGTTTCGTATCCCTTTATATTTCATATTTAAAATACATCGATTCTATTTAAAACCCTTGACCATCATTTAGGGACTGCTCATTTATTATAGGGTGGAGGGGTCGTGGGTCATGAACAATTTAGGGCCGGGACGGGTAACTCGGGTACTTGGGGCGGGTGGACCCTGAGTAGGACCCGGTACCCACAGGATTACCCGGACCCGTGGCCATTCATGTGATATATCTTTTATGACAATAACAATAAAATTCCATAGTTATACTCAAATACAAGTCGCTAATGTTCGCATTGTTTTTCTGACTGTGCGCACATTCCTTCTGATTTTTATTTGTTTGAGTAAAGACAAAGCTAAATACAGTCCTATTCAAGGACTGGAATGTCGGACTTGGTTGAAGCATCCCAATTGAGTAGACCGATGCTGATGATGTCAATCACTGGATTGTCTGGTCCAGACTTGATGTATTTCATATAGCTGCCATATTGCCGAGTGTGGCGTTGAACAATAAGCAAACAAAGAAACATATCTGAACATGTCCAACGTGTTGCCTCGGAAACGCAAACAATTAAAGTTTCAAAACGATATAGCAAAAATCGAAAACTCATCACTTGACCTATGTGCATACAAAGTTTCACAACAAATAGGAAACAGTTTATGACCTTTTCTCCGGAAATGATTCAAACTTTCCTACGCACCTAATGCCTGACTGCCTGGAAACGCAAACATACAAACTCTTGAAAATCCTGAATAGCAAATTGTATTTTCAGCACTTTACTGGTGTGTATATGTTACAATTAAAACATATAATCAGTTATTATATATAATACTTGAATTTTTCAGGTATTGTGTGTAGTACCCGATTCACTCAGATATTATACATAATAACTGAAATTTTCATGTATTATACATATTATCTGAATTAAAATTGGAATGTTAATGTATGGTAGTTAACTATTGTGCTGTTTTATTTGTTTTGATGTTCACTAACTAAGAAACTGATGAAAACATCTTTGTGTAAAGTATTGCTCAGTATTGCTATTTCTCTGAGATTGTCAGTGCAGAGAGAATCAATACAGTTGTGGTTGTCAAGCTTTTATTATATGCAATTGTGCTGACACCAGGAAATGCTAAAGTAACAGATGCAAATGTTATAATTCACGATTGATGTGCAACTCAAAATGACATTCAAGCCTCTCCTGCACAAAAAAATGTTAACGTACAACCAATTACTATATAAAATACCTGACAATTATCATATATTGTGTATATTTCTTAAAAATTTCAGTTATTATGTATAATTACAGTGAATCAGGTATTACACATAATACATGAAATTTTCAGGTATTACACATAATAACTGACCATACGTTTTAACTGTAACAGATACATGGTTTCTGCCCCAAAGAGCGTTCGCTCGTCACGCCGAAGACCCGGGTTCGATTCCCGACATGGGTACAATGTATGAAGCCCATTTCTGGTGTCCCCCGCCGTGATATTGCTGGAATATTGCTAAAAGCGGCGTAAAACCATACTCGCTCACTCTGCCCCAAAGCGAACCTTGTCCTTTTGTATAACTGTTTGTAATTTGTTTATTTTTCCAGAGGATTTACACGGTTTTGCATAACAACATATTCAAAGAAATAAAGCATGACATCTTGACCAAAGCCTATTAAAGTATTCTCTGTTACAATTAATGACGGAAGTATACTTAATTATATGATAAAGTTCAGTGAACTCCTGGGACTAATTGAAATGTTGGTGGATAGTTATTATTTCTAAAGTTGAAAAGGGTTCGTTCTGACAAAATAATGATACGGTTTAAAGGATTGTTATTTTTCGATAAATAATCAAAAAGAACATTTTCATTGGATATTGTTACCAGGCTTTGCATTTTGTGCGATATCTAAATTTTCATGTCTCGCCAGAGGAAGCTGTATTAAGATAAACCAAGCGTAAATCATAGAACAAACGCCGGTTCAACCAACACAGGGAATATTGGATACATTTGAAGCAATATTGAGAAAGAATAGTGATAAGAAACAACACCAGCTTTGAATAAACTCCGGGTCAAAGGACATTCGGAAAGAATGCTAATTGTCTGGAATTTATGGTAAACTTTGGTGCGAGGCATCCACACACCCCAAAACTCTTTCTGAATGACAATAGGACAACGTTATGTCAACTCCGGTGAAACAAATTTGAAAGTATTGCAAATCACATCATTTACATGCCAATGTATAACATATGCACACTATTACAAGTTATGCCTCTAAGGCTACTGCACACTTTTAAACGTATTTGATGATATTTACATTCAAAATAAAATAATATAGATTAAATATAAAACTACCAGTCAATACCAGACTCGATTCCCCACAAGGGTACAATATTTGTTTGATGTTTAACGCTGCACTCAGCACCATTCCAGCTAAATGACGGCGGTCTGTAAATAATCAAGTCTGGGCCAGACATTCCAGTGATTGACACCATGAGCATCGATCAACGCAATTGGAAGACGATAACATGCAACAACCAAGTCAGCGAGCCTGACCACCAGATCCCATTAGTCTCCTCTTACGACTCGCATAGTCACCTTTAACGACAAGCATGGGTTGCTGAAGACCTTTTCTACCCAGGATCTTCAACAGGATACGCCACTCGAGAAAATATCTCTTTACCCCCGTCACACGATGAGGGAAACATGATATTTCACTCGACACATGAGATATCCTCTACATATTCAATAACGTACAGATATCTATCTATCTATCTATCTATCTATCTATCTATCTATCTATCTATCTATCTATCTATCTATCTATCTATCTATCTATCTATCTATCTATCTATCTATCTATCTATCTATCTATACATCTATACATACATGAGCTGCAAGTCAATATTAATGTTATTTGAAGTCCTACCTATAGTAGCCAAAGCTTAAACTCACAATACATCATGGGTCGAGGCAGATTTGTGCCACTTGGGTGTTGCAGGCTGTTTGCAAATTAACCGAGTATGATAATACACTTCCTAGAAATCAGTTAACACTTCCAACATCCAGTCCGGTGCATGTCGGGTAGAAGGCTATACTATAAAAGGAATTGAAACGCTCGACTTCACCTGTGGCATGTCACTTGACTTGGCGATATGCAGTCTCAATCTAAATCGGAACTGGGCCAACACGACTACACCGAGATCTGTATATGGTCGAGGTGTGTTAGTGATTAAATGCTGTATTCCGACTGTATTAGAGCGACCTGTAAATCAAGGTAAAGAGCCATCACTGCAAAAAAAACCTGTATTAGGTAAAAAACACATGCTGGACATGCTACACGTATGTAGCGACCAGAACTGGGATACGACCAGAACTGGGATAAACAGTCCACAATTTCGCAAAGCCCCATTTACTGCGGTAATGCTTTCGATTAGCTCTAAAACACATGGCGATATATATGCGGAATATGATTTAGTTTATATTTTGGGTGGGACCGTACTGAATATGATCTTCTGTATATTTCCATGTCCCATTCCAAATAAATAACGCACATTAAATTCTTCACTATAAATTGGAAACATCTTCAGGTATTATTATTATTTTGTTATATTGTACTTGACAAATATCCACACGCCTTTCTGTGCGCAATTCACATTTATGCACAAATGTCAGTGTCTGTGCGATATTTCTTTTAACAAATTATGTTATAATAAGATCAATAATTGAAATCAAGGATGTGTTTCTACATCACATTGTGGTCACAATAGTATATAGAATGGAATGGAATCGTCCATATTAAAAAAGTAAAGGCGGTGCTTGAGGGGTTTCTGAAATATTTCGGATTGTGGCCTCGACACATTATGCATGCCATTTAGATTTTGTTTTGTTTGTAACTGTAAACAATTTTCCGTATTCTGTTGTTTGTGGCCCAAATTAAAGTGCGTTCTCCTCCAATCCCACGATGTGAATAGAAATGCAAAACATGTATCCTCATTAATTTATTTAATGTAACTGTGCTGAAGGGAATCCTTGTAATTCACACATGAGTAGATGTGAGAAATCATATTTATATAATTTCAAAACAATTATTTCACTTGCCTCTGCATTTAGACAAGCTCTTTCCACTTCTTTTAATTAGTTCGATGGGTTAATTGTATATGGTTTGCCAGAAGATTGAGGCGAAAATTACACAAGATGAAAGTGTTTTTTCATTCCTCTTTACAAAGTTACGGGAAAGTACACAGGTACATCGGACATAAAATATACATTACTCAGAATGAAACGCGGGGTGTCAGACATGTTATATACATCATTATAAATGAAAGACGCGGGGGAGTTTGTATATCGGATATAAACTATACATCACTCAGAACGATAGATAACGATAGAGGGTTTGTATCGGATGTATTATATTATACATACTTCAGAATGCTGTAGATGCAGACCAATGTAAGCTTTGAAACATGCTAAGAAGTATCCAAGCTGGATATTGACGATTGTTTTAGAATGGCATTCTACCCACATATACAAGTTAGTGGTAACCTCAAATACCTCCTTAACTTAACCCTATCACATATACATGATGCAGGTAATGCAAGCTCAGAAGTTTGGTGTGCAAATTTATAATAAATGTATAAATATAAATGTATAACTAACAGATATAAGCGGTAAGACGGATATGACTCCTCATGCATGCATGCACCGGTAAACCAGACCTAACAGAAAGGAGTATATAGTTACTCCATAGTGTTTTAGGAACCAGGCACCTTCAATTTGAAATAAAGGAAAGATATATTGAAGCAAGTCGAAATAATATATTTATATATCTAGCCTAAAATCACGATGATCCATGGACAGTGCATTGTGTATGTCTATGTTGGGCATTGCTTAAAATATACCCACCGCTTCGCTTGTCATGTTAGGCGACAATCGATGGTTGGTTGGTTGGTTGTTTAACGCCGCACTGAGCAATATTCCAGCTATATGACGGCGGTCTGTAAATAATCGAATCTGGACCAGACAACACGGACAATCCAGTGATAGACATCATGAGCATCGATCCATGCATTTGGGATAAGTAGTATAGTCTAAGTCCGCAGCAACCCCCTTTTGGTTGAGGGAGGTTGAGGGAAAATAGGGAAGGTGATTGGCTGATCCAACTCACGTGATCGGATAGGATGACTCATGCATCAACAGCACGTCACAGGTGAGGGGGAATGAAAGGTGTGTGTTTATAAAGCAGAAAAGAATTCATAAGAAAACAAAAGTAAAAGGTTATGAACAGAGCTAAGTGTATAGCGTGCTGCCTTGAATAGACAGACCGTACCCGTCAGCCCAGTTTGAATTGAGCGCTTGACAACTCACGTGGCCTAGTCGTTTAACCCGCGCTCGCTAGAGCGTGCGACCTGGTTTGATGAATGCAGGGTGTGTGTTGAAAGTACATCATACCACAATAGAGACGGGTTGTGTCAACACGATATACGCCGGGTAATGTAGGGAAAAAAATGTACGTCTAGCTGGATCAAATTCATCTTGTACGGTGTACACGTTGTACACCATGAACGTTAGACAACCTGTATGGAAAAAACCATAAAGGAAATAGATAAGACTACACAATCAGCAAGCTAGCAGTGTCGTTTAATTACATTTAGCGCGCAACAACGAGGTAGTCACGTCACCCTGCATTGACTATAACGCTGAAGGCAGCCGGATTTCGAATCACCCGCGCTGCGTACTATTGTGAACCATTTGTAAAGAATTATTCAGCCCTGTCCCGACTTGCATAGTTGATGTTTCAATGCTAGCTTTTCCATTTAACGCGATGACAAATAAACCGTACGGTTTGAGTTTTAACCGTGTAACATGATGTGCACAGTTTTACTTCAGAACGTGCTATTTTGAAAATAGATAGAAAACTGATAAGTACATGTAGCAGTGTGACGACACGAAGCTAGGTTTGTTGGGAAAGTGATGGAAGCAATCTATAGGACATTTTCATGTTTACAATACTCACCCTTAATTCGAAGAGAGAACAGAGTTTATCATGGAAAATTGTTTGACGAGGAAAATGTTTTATTGGAAATATAGGTTTATTCATAGCTAATGTATAGCAGAGAGACTAAGCGACCGACCGCCCATAACAATGTCAACATACCCCGGCCTTATAATTAATGTCAACATACCAGCCTCGCCTGAAGCTTCCCATTCATAAATTGTGTGACCATATAATTATGATATATTAGGGAAGATGTGTTGTACATTTGTTATTTTAAAAGGGAGTTATTTCAGAGAGGATATATATGGGTATTCCCCCTCATTAAACCTTTCTTTCGTTGGTGTCTATTAAACGTATCCGGTATTTAATACATTTGAATGATGTAGGAAAGTATGTGCGTGCAGATGTTGTACCTATATCCGAACACGAATTAAAATTTAAAATAACAAATGTACAATACATCTTCCCTAATATATCATAATTATATGGTCACACAATTTATGAATGGGAAGCTTCAGGCGAGGCTGGTATGTTAACATTAATTATAAGGCCGGGGTATGTTGACATTGTTATGGGCGGTCGGTCGCTTAGTCTCTCTGCTATACATTAACTATGAATAAACCTGCTTCGACATATATTTCCAATAAAACATTTTCCTCGTCAAACAATTTTCCATGATAAACTCTGTTCTCTCTTCGAATTAAAGGTGAGTATTGTAAACATGAAAATGTCCTATAGATTGCTTCCATCACTTTCCCAACAAACCTAGCTTCGTGTCGTCACACTGCTACATGTACTTATCAGTTTTTTTATCTATTTTCAAAATAGCACGTTCTGAAGTAAAACTGTGCACATCATGTTACACGGTTAAAACTCAAACCGTACGGTTTATTTGTCATCGCGTTAAATGGAAAAGCTAGCATTGAAATATCAACTATGCAAGTCGGGACAGGGTTGAATAATTCTTTACAAATGGTTCACAATAGTACGCAGCGGGGTGATTCGAAATCCGGCTGCCTTCAGCGTTATAGTCAATGCAGGGTGACGTGACTACCTCGTTGTTGCGCGCTAAATGTAATTAAACGACACTGCTAGCTTGCTGATTGTGAAGTCTTATCTATTTTGTCTATATATTTTTTTCTATACAGGTTGTCTAACGTTCGTGGTGTACAACGTGTAGACCGTACAAGATGAATTTAATCCAGCTAGACGTACATTTTTTTTCCTACATTACCCGGCGTATATCGTGTTGACTTAACCCGTCTCTATTGTGGTATGATGTACTTTCAACACACACCCTGCATTCATCAAACCAGATCGCACGCTCTAGCGAGCGCGGGTTAAACGACTAGGCCACGTGAGTTGTCAAGCGCGCTCAATTCAAACTGGGCTGACGGGTACGGTCTGTCTATTCAAGGCAGCACGCTATACACTTAGTTCTATTCATAACCTTTTACGTTTGTTTTCTTATGAATTCTTTTCTGCTTTATAAACACACACCTTTCATTCCCCCTCACCTGTGACGTGCTGTTGATGCATGAGTCATCCTATCCGATCACGTGAGTTGGATCAGCCAATCACCTTCCCTATTTTCCCTCAACCTCCCTCAACCAAAAGGGGGTTGCTGCGGACTTAGACTATACTACTGGGATACGATGACATGCATCAACCAAGTCAGTGAGCCAGACCACCCGATCCCGTTAGTTGCCTTTTACGAGAAGCATAGTCGCCTTTTAGGGCAAGCATGGATTGCTGAAAAGACCTATTCTACCCCGGGTCTTCACGGGCACCACAATCGATGGACCGGGTGGGCATGCTTGTATAGTGACTTCGTTAATTGTGTGTCATGTACCCCGATATAAATACATGTAAATAAACGATTGGTTTAAGTATGAACAACGTCCCACGCCGACATGTACGATGTCTCGCAATTAACCAAATAACGAACCTGACTACCCGAGGCTCGTTAGTCGCCTCTTATTATACGATTCTAAGCCGGACTCCCCATCCGATCATGGGAATATTACCTGCATGGTCAGCTTTGCTGTTACTGGTTCTTGCAGTAAAATGTTGGTCTACATAGGCAGAGAGCAAAATA